CCCCAAAACCCCAAAACCCCAAAACCCCAGTGAATTTAGGGTGGATTGAAAAGGAGATTCAAAATATTGGTTTTTTGTGATATAAGCAAGGATTATTTTTAAAAGCTTAGCTGTTTAGTCATTAAGTTGAATTAAGCCAAGGAGGTTTTACCACCTTCTCCAAACCTGAACTTCCTCAAACCCATACAACTCCAGTATTTCATTGACCTTATCCTCACCTAATCCACATCCAGCCACTTTAATCTTCCGAAAACTCTTCTCAAAATCTTCCACTCTGGCTAGCCCTTCTACAAGATAATCAAGATCAGGGCTTTCCTTCTCCCAATCTCCAGCTTAAACTTCTTCACATTATAGTTAAAATATATCCTGTCACATGTATATTATTAAAATCTCCAATCTGCTTACTTCCGCACCAGTTTAGATCCAGGCATTCAACAGCAATTCCATTTAGAGAATCGCCGAAGTCAGGAGCTCTGCTTAAGCCAAGCTTGCAACCAGGGAATCCTAATATCTTGACATGTTTGTAGCTTTCAAAAATTGTGATTAGATTGTTTTGGCTAGCTTCAGAAGGGGAGAATTCAAAATTATATAAAAGGAACTCTTGAGATACTCTAGGACCTATTTTACAGAGCTTCGATATGTAAATCTCGAGATAAGGATTCAGTTCAGAGTTATTGTTGAAATGCAAAACCTCAACACTCTCTGGGAAGTATTTATTGAGCAGGGTGTTCACTCTAATATATTTGACAATTGGAATTGATGAAATGCTGAACCGGTAAATATCAGGAATCCTCTTTTTTATGGATTCTATCTGCTTAAAATCTTTATCATCATTCAGCTCAAGCTCTAAAACTTTTTTCTTAGAACTCTTCAAAACTTTGATCTTCTTTAATTTATTACCTTCATTTGGATCAAATAATAAGTTGAATTCATCTTCAGAATATGTTCCAGCTGGAGGAAGATATTTCTCTTTCATTTGTACAAGATCATTTTGAGTTTTGTTCAGCTCAGTGACTCTTTCGGTAAGAGAATCCTCTAGCTCATCAATCTTCTGCCGATGCTCCTTGTTCTCATTCTTCTTTTGGGTAAGTTTTAGTTTTATAGTGTTGATTTCGATAGTAGAGGATTGCTTTTGTTCCTCTAAATTTTCTTTATATGCTATCTCAGCATTTTTCATTTCTTCTTTTTATTTTTTATTTTAAAATTTCCATACTTTCAAAGTATTCAGCTTTTGTTTGTTGATTAGATACCTGTTCGTCATCAAGTTTTCTTCTCAATTCTGTGATTATGTTGTTCAGCCGGGAGATCTCTTCGTTCTTTGCTCTTTCTATTTCACATCTTCTCTGTTTAAACTGTTTGGTTACCAGAGTCAAGTATTTTTCATACTTCTCCGTCAGCTCTTTGTTTGAAAGATCAGGGCTATTTTTCAGATTCATACCTAATGACTGAAAGAGCTTTTTCCCATAATAAATTAGTGGAGTATTTTAAGAATAACTCATTTCCCATGATGAAACTATTTGAGCTCCATTGCCTTATCATACAATCTTATAAACTCATAGTATTCGTTTTGTTCAATGGCAGTCTCAAGCTCGAAGAGGATCTTGTCAGACATCTCTTTAATGAGATCATTAAATTCCGCATAACCTTCTTCTTGATCAAGGTCTTCTTGACCACCATCAGATATTAAAAACTCTTTCATGCATTGAGACACAGCACATACAATGGTCTTAATTGACTCAGGATCAACGAGGCGACGCCCTTCGTCTCCTGAATACTGGGTGTCTCTGTGATTTGAGCAACAATATATCCGTCTTCTGTTTAAGTAGAATTCAGAGGCCCTATCACACGAAATGGCAGATCACTGAGGGAAATTCATATCTAATTGTTTTTAAAAATTATTTAGAAGGATTTTTATATGTCTCAATAGACCCAGATTATCTAGGGGTTTTGGGGTTTTGGGGTTTTGGGG